TACTGCCCGCGTTGAAAGGCTTCAGTCTTTCAACAATGAATTTCAGAAAATTATTTAATTAGTAACAAACCAAAACGCATTGCTTATCTGATAAGTTAACTTAAGATGTCTCGAAAAAGGATCGAATGCAAAAAAAATTTTAAAAGGTAAACAAATGTATTTTGTGGTTGAAAGAAGTTCATATGTATGTATATGTTTTAATCTCGTACAACTAAAGCGGGAAGTAGGAGTTTTTAATACATATTCATTTACTTACGTTAAACTAAAAAATATCTAAGTTATGCGCGGGAGAACAATCATGTTGGGTATACGCGTTGATGATATTCGCCACAGCTTTTTGGCGATGATTATAGCAGCTACAATAACGACGGCAATTACGATCCAAGATAGGTTGCTCGAAGTGTAGTGCATCAAGTGATGGAATTCAAAGTCGACTGGGAATCCCATTACTCCTCGCGATCTTGGGATATTTTCTATTTTAAAGGACTCCATTTCTCCTCTTATTTGCAGTTTCTCAAAACCTGGTAGTTGTTGAGATAAATTAACGTTTGGTATGAAATAGGTTGCATTTGATGTGTACGTTTCGTATACCCATATATTTATGTTCGCAGTCCTCAAGAAGCAATTTGGTTTCAAACGTAAAATCCCTTGGCCATTTATATTAACATTTGATCTCTGGCCATGGCACGTAACTTCAGCTGAAACTTCATTAGCTATTGAAAACAACCATGTGTTTTCGGAATGCATTTGACTCCAATAATCTTTTCGTGGCAGAACATTCAGTATGCAGGTTTTAGCAACTTCTCTTTGGTTTGTGAATAGCTGTACTTCACACTCGGCATCCTTTCCTGTATTGTACATAGGATGTATTTGCGGACATAATATCAGTTTCGCCATTTTCTCGCAATGATCGAAACTACTATCTGCTAACCCATAGTACATCGATTTTCTATCGTCGATAATAATGTACTTAAACGCAGTTAGAATATTCACGAAATATTCAGAATGGCTTACTGGGTATGTCAATACTGAATACAGTTGCAGGCTTTCTTTGTTCAATAGCGGAATTCTAATGTTGAATATTAGCGTTTTTTCTGTCGTTCTAGTGCTTGTTCTTGCTATTTTCGCCAGCTCAATTGGGTCCGTTTCTGGAAGCATCAAATGTTGATTTAATTGAGTTTTAATCAACGTTATCTGCTCTTGAAATTTATGTAGCGGTAATACATTTTCAAGAAAATTTCCTTTGGAACTCCAAATCATTCCAATAATATCTTGCTGCAGCTCTTCAAAGGACGAGATAGCAATTAATGCAGTAGTTATCACGCTCATAGTTGTTTCTTGATATATGTTCTTGTTTATTGCGTTTTTAAACGTGCGAATGGAATTGTTAAGGAATTTAAAATTTTTCCAAATCACTTCGTTTTCTTGTTTCATTACATCCACGGTCCTGTCTTGAATCGATGATTGATTTAGGTAAAGCTCAGCTAAATATTTTTCATTTTGGTAGCTTTTTTCGATTTTCTGCGATAGCTCCTCAGCGTGATCTTCATCTAATACCCCATATAAAGCGTGCATCATGCTTCCAATAAAGGACAACGGTGCTGATCTTTGCAGTCTCTGCCTCTTCACTGATTTATTTAGGATTATTATCTGATGTTTCCTCGGTATCCTTGTGTATTTAACCTCTAATTCCCGGATGGGTTCTGAGTGATAGAAGTCGTCAGTTGTGGAATTCTTTATTTTTTCCAACTCCTCCATAGCCGCGTCAACGGTGTGTTTGTACTGCCGATAATCCTCCAGGTTGACATATACTATTACGTTCCAGGCTGTCTTCGTCAACCCGATTGTTCCCCTTGGCTCGAATAAAATACCTGACTTATCTCTAAATCTCTCTATTAGTACATTTTCTGAGTTAATACTGGGCAAAATTAACAAGAATGTGAGTATAGTCAATAAACAATTTTTATTTTTTATTTTGTTTGGCTTCCTATTTTGATTTTTTGTGTAATCTTTCTTTAAAGTATATTTTTTTTCTGCTACATCTTTTTCTTCTGTAGGAAACGGACAAATATTGTGTATCGCTCTCGTCGACACGCCATTACTGGTCCGTACTTCTACCATTCTACACCTTCCGTCCTTTCCGAGAATTACTTTCTCTACTCTTCCCCTCCTCCAATTCATTGGAGGGACATTGTCTTCTTTCAGAAGTACAAGAGTGTCAGTTATAATATTTTCCGCGGGGTTTTTCCATTTATACCTTCTTTGTAACTCGTTTAGGTATTCATTAGACCATATTTTCCAAAATTCTAGACTATTCTTTTCCACTGCCTTCCAGTGGTCCCTCAGCCCTTGATAACATTTGTTGTCACAGTTGTCAACAATTGTTACCATTGGTTCTCCTATTATGAAATGTCCAGGAGTTATAATGTTCAGGTCATTTGGGTCATTAGAGCAAGGAATTAAAGGTCTTGAATTCAGTATTGCCTCGATTTGTGCCATCAGGGTATTTAACTCTTCGAATGTCATTGTGCCTTCGGTTACTCTAAAGAAGTGCTTTTTCACGCTTTTCACCGCGGCTTCCCATAATCCGCCCATGTGTGGCGATTTAGCTGGTATATTTATCCATTTAATCTGCCTTTCTCCACAAAACCTTTCTAATTCCTCGGTATGAGTTTTATTTTTAAACATTTTGTAAATTTCGTTTAGACTATTTGCTGCTCCAATGAAATTGGTGCCGTTATCAGAATATATTTTTATAGGGCAACTTCGCCTGGCTACAAAACGCTTCAAGGCACCTAAAAATGCTGCAGAGCTAAGGTCCGATGCGACTTCCAAATGTACTGCTTTTGTTGCAAAACAAACAAATACACATATATAAGATTTGTCGAACCTTTTCCCTCTAATTTTATGGTGAATATGTATTGGGCCTAGGAAGTCAATTCCTACATTTAAAAATGGCCTAGTTTTAATTACCCTGTCTTCTGGTAAATTTCCCATCAATTGGTGTAGTGCCCTTGGTTCAACCTTAAAACATCTGTAGCACAGCCTTACTATTTTTGTGGTCAATTGTTTACCACGCAATGGCCAGTATTTTTGCCTTATAATTGCTAGTAATCCCTGAGGTCCTACATGTAAATGTTTAATGTGAAGGCCTTTTATCATCAGTTCTACATATTTGTCTCCATACGGAAGTAGAAACGGATGCTTTGCTTCAAAGGACAGCTTGCTGTTTTCTATTCTACCTCCTACTCTTATTAATCCGTCATTATCTAGGAAAGGAGACAGTGTGGATAATTTTGAATTTGAGGTTACTACTTTACCCTTTTGTAAACTTTTTATTTCCTCCTTAAAATGTTTACCTTGGACATTTTTAATAATTACATTCAAGGCTATTTTTCTATATTCTCCCCAGGAAAGCAACTCTGTTTTCTTGCAGAGTTGAGTAAATTTGTAAATCTGAGCAATTACATTCTGAAGGTAATTGAAGTCACTTTTATGATTTATTTTGTCCCACAGGGAATCTTTGTTTATTAGTACCCCCACTTTTTTTATACTTTTTAATTCTGGAATACCATCATTTTTGTCTACCTTAAAGTTTTCAATTTCAATTTTCTTTTGTTCTAAAAAATGCGGACCAGAAAACCAAAATTTATTATCAATTAACTCCTTACCCGACATTCCTCTGGATAGCATGTCGGCAGGATTCTCTTCCGATCTTACGTGATTCCAATCCTCGATGTTGCTGTAGGATTGAATGTGGCTTACTCTGTTGGCTACGAAGATTTTAAGAGTAGCTGGGTCCAAATTTAGCCAGCTCAGTACGATGGTTGAGTCTGTGTAATAAAGAATTTTATTAAAATTGTGTTTCAAGCTTATTAGAACTTGTTTTACTAGATCAGTAAGTAAAACTGCTGCACATAATTCTAATCTCGGTAATGTAACTACCTTGATTGGTGCAACTCGCGATTTACCTGCTGCTAAGCGTGATGCCACCTTTCCTTCATTACTGATTGACCTTACGTATACTACCGCGCCATAAGCTTTCATTGAGGCATCACAGAATCCATGAATTTCCATTGTCTCTGCTTTTTTACTCATCAAATATCTCGGTATTTTTATATTATTCAGTGAATTAAAATCAGTTCTTATATAATTCCAAGTTTTAATGATTTCTGCTGGTAAAGTTTGATCCCAGTCTATTTTTAATTTCCATAATTGTTGCAACAATATTTTTGCAGAAACAATAATTGGGTTTATTAAGCCTAATGGGTCAAATAATTTTGAAATTTCAGAAAGAAGATTTCTTTTGGTAGGTTTTACGTCTTTTATTCCTTGACATTTTATAACTAAGGTGTCGGTTATAGTGAACGGCCAAAACTCTCGCGAAATGCTTCCCACTGCGGTAAAATGTAACTGACTCCACATTCTGTGGAGCGTTTATTTATAATACAATTCTTAATTCTAGGTTACATGTATGTATGTTTATGTATGTGTATATTTCTTTATATATATATATGTATTTACATTTCTATTTGTTACTGATAACTATCGCAGTATTGCTTGGGTGCATAATCTACGGCTATGCGTTTATGTACATAACATAAAATGTCAAGTGCGTGTGTGTAAGTACAAGATTACTTCAGATGCAAAGTCCATATACTGTGACCTTTGCGCTCTTCCAGACAAACACTTGAATGATTTTAGTTACATACACAATATGCATAGCACATCTGTTTGTATATATGTAGATGAATAAATACAAGATTCAACACTAGGGCTACCATGTCAAAGCTCGAGCTTTGAAATTTCAGGCATGGGAGGAAGAGTAATCCAGACCTCTAACAAAATATGCTCTTTAGTCCTAGTATCTACTGATTTGACAACAAAAATAAGTGCCCAAGCAATCGTTTTGCCCCAATTAACAAAAATTCTCCCTAGGTTCCAGCTAAGTCATCAGCAAAGAAATAAATGGTCTCTCTTAACGCTAGCAGACGCAAACTGTCACTCCCCAAATCAGATAGACCTAGTAATTGGTAGCGATCTCATCCCGCAGATTATACTCGAAGGCATAGAAAAACTATCTGAAAATCTGTTAGCCTAAAATACAATATTTGGCTGGATTCTGAGTGGTAAAATTCTCCAACAAATAGGATCTTTCTCGACTCAAGTAGAGGAGACCTCAAACGAACCTCTCAACTCCCAACTATGAAGGTTCTGGGAAATAGAGGAAGTTCCGAACCCCATATTCACTACCCCCGAACACGAAGTGTGTGAAAAGTTCTATAAAGCCACAACCACGCGCACAGTCGATGGTCGCTATATGGTACGCCTTCCATTCAAGCCGAGTTTTCCCACTGAAATCGCCCTAGGCCATTCTCGCTCCTCCGCTTTACAACAATTTCTCAGCATGGAGAGAAGTCTTCTCAAAAAAGGTGACCTTAAAACTCTGTATGATAACGTCTTGGAGGAATACGTAACACTCAAACATATGGCAGAAACTGATTCTTATGAAATGTCCTCAGAAGGCAATTACCGGTCGTTCTACCTCCCTCACCACGCGGTGGTTAAACCCGAGAAACGAACGACCAAGGTAAGAGTTGTCTTCAATGAGTCGAAGACTTCTGGCTCTGGGTACTCTCTTAATGACATCTTATATACCTGACCAACTCTCCAGCCTGACCTTCTGCTCCTCATTCTCAAATGGCGAACTTATAAATTTGTATTCAATGGTGATGTCGAAAAAATGTATCGACAAATACTGTTGCACGAAGACGACCAAGATTTCCAGAGAATACTATTTCGTTCCACCCAAAATAGCCCCATTCGAGACTATAAGTTGAAAATGGTCACATTTGGTGTCAACTGTGCGCCCTATCTCGCCATTCGTACCCTTCACCAGCTCTCCCAAGACGTAGAAACTACATTTCCCATGGCTGTACCCATACTGAAAAACGAAACATACGTAGACGACATTCTTTCTGGCAGCCATGACCTACTCACAGCTACCGAATCTCTCGCCCAAGTCATTCAAGCTCTTAACTCGGCAGGCTTCCCTTTGAAGAAAATTACCGCTAACCATCCCGAAATCCTCAGAAGTATAAATAAAGAGGACTTGCTTGATACAAATTTCCTCGAGTTTGAGAAAGCAAGTGCCACGAAAACTCTCGGAATTCAATGGAACGCTCTCACTGATACGTTCTCTTATACGATTGATTCCATCCCGGCTTCCTCCGCAAGTACGAAGCGGCGAATTCTCTCCTCTGTCGAAAAACTTTTTGACCCCGCAGGATGGCTTGCGCCGGTAATGATTCAGGCAAAAATTCTTCTACAAGAGCTTTGGCTAGATGGCACCGATTGGGATGAGCAGGTAAAACCCCTCCGTCTTATCAAATGAAACCAATTTGCCAAAAATCTACAGGCAATCTCCACTATCCAAATACCTCGCTGGGTAGATTATATGCCAGATTAACAGTCAGAACTGCATGGCTTCTGCGACGCCTCGGAAAAGGCTTATTGTGCCACTATTTATGTCCGCACCATACACGATACTCGTGTCTCCTCTCACCTTCTAGTAGCCAAAGGAAAGGTGGCCCCTCTCAAGACAACAAGTTTACCACTGCTAGAACTGTGTGGAGCTCTCCTTTTAGCAAAACTTGTAGCAGTCGTCCAATCTCACCTTAATCTCTCACCAAATAAGCTCAACCTCTGGTCGGACTCCGAAATTGTTCTGGCATGGCTCGTAAAGCCGCCTCACGCCTGGAAGACCTTCGTAGCCAACCGCACCGCAGAAGATATCGACGCCCTAGACCGATTCTCGTCGTTTCCCCGTGCTCTTAAGGTCATGGCGTATGTTTTCAGGTTTATAGACCTATTAAAAGATCGAGCCAGGCATAACATGCCCACTAATCCCAGTTCGCTAACCCACGAAGACCTCCGCAGTACAAAAAACCGTCTTATAGCCTTAACGCAGTCTCGCTACTTCCCTAGCGAAAAGGGACGTTTACTAAATTCCATGGTCATTTACAAACGAAGCTCCTTGCGTACCCTCAACCCATTTTTGGACAAAAATGACTTGCTCAGAGTCAATGGTCGCGTTCGAGCGACTCGCAGCTCTTTACGTGCGATTTCTGCACGAACTACTGCTTCACGCAGAAACGCGTCTCATGCAGCAATGTATTAGGCAGGAATTCTACATCCCACGGCTGAAACCCCTCATCAAAAATGTATATATCAATGCAAAATCTGCACTCTCCATAAGCAGCAAATCCGCTCGCAAATTATGGCAGCCTTGCCTCCGGAACGATGCACCTATGCTCCGCCTTTTACCACCACCGGTGTTGTTTTTTCGGGGCCTTTTCAAATAAAGGCCTCTTTGCTAAGATCCAACACCTTAGTAAAGGGCTACGTGGCCGTCTTTGTGTGCTTCTCTACAAAAGCTGTTCACCTTGAGCTGTGCTCAGACCTCACAACCAATGCGTTTCTCGCAGCATTTGCTCGCTTCGTTGGACGTCGTGGATACCCCGCAAAAATGATGAGTGATAACGGCAAAACATCCATAGGTGCCAAGAGAGCCACCGAAAATGAGTTCACCGCATTTCTCACTGAAGTGTCCTAAGAAGTCATTAACAAGTACTCACCTGAAGGCATCAATTGGAAATTCATTCCCCCCGGTGCTCCCCACATGGGTGGTTTGTGGGAATCCGCGGTCAAAAGTTTTAAACTGCATTCCAAAAGGATTGCTGGACCATACAAATTCACCTTTGAAGAATTCATCACCCTCTTGGTAAGAATAGAAGCAGTATTAAATTCCCGACCTATCTCGCCACTATCGCAAGGCCCTTACGAGTTCACCGCTCTCACACCCGGCCATTTCCTCAGAGGTGCTCCTCTTCTGGCCATTCCTGAGGTGAACCATGAAGATCTGTCTTTGACCAATCGGTGAGAAAAGGTAAAAAGTCTGCGTCATCACTTCAGCAGACGTTGGAAGGAGGACTACCTGAAAGACCTCCAAAAAAAGACACAGATGGAAAAATCCACAAATAGACACCAAGGTCGGCGAGTGCGTTCTCATACATGACGATACCCTTCCACCCACGGAGTGGGGTCTAGGACGCATAGAAAAGGCGTATCCCGGGCCGGATGGGCATATACGTGTCGTAGACGCTCGCACTCAGACTGGTATTCTCACACGACCACTTGCGAAGCTATGCTTCCTTCCCACTGAGGGAAATCTCCCCCGCTCGCAGACCCCGAACAACCATCAAAATAATACTGACCTACCTTCTTGCTACCATTGAAATCCCTCTTCCCATTCAGACCGCTCCTCCACCGCTATAATGCACCCCTTGGAGTACGATCGGCACACACCAAACTACACTCATATCAATAAAATCTAATACTCTCATCACTACAGTCCCCCGTAAACCCACCTTTGCAGATCGCTATAGATCACGCACCGCAGCCTGCACCGCGAAGATTGCTCCGGTCGGAGATTGCTGCCACCACCAACGAGGAAAACGAGTAGCGCAAGTCCACTGAACCAGCCGGAAACTACCAACGATGCCGTATTTGTACCCGGCATCACGCGTTGCCGCAACAAAGGTGGATACTCGCACGCGTACACAAGTTTTGCGGTCTACGACACCACTCGCTCCTGCATCGCCGCTCGTCATCCTCCGGACCACATCGCTCTAGCCAGATGTCTTCATCTTCCCGGTCATCTACGCCACCACGTCGACAAGCTAGCAGAATTGTACGATCAACCGCTCGTCATACCGCCAGACAGCCGCTCCCGCCACCCATAGTCCCTCGCCGAGCCGTTCGCCACACTACTCAGGGGCTGCAGACCGCCACCTATCGAGGAAAGGTGACCGAGCTTTTGGTCCAGGATGCCATACTAACGCTGAAAGAGCTGAAAGAGGCTCTAGCCGCTGAACGCGCCTAGGGCGGCCACGATGTTGAAACGAGCAGCGTTATAGGCGTCCAACGTCATTTTCACACATATGCAGAAGATGGTATAGAGATAGAAGTACATATTAACTACATATATATGTAAACTTTGGAAGCTGAATTTTTGTACTCATTCTGAATTATTTGTACCTCATTTAAATTGTACACAATGTCCGCCATAGTTGGAAGCCCTAAGTCAGCACTTTGTAAGCAAATGAAAGCTACGAGCAAAAGTAGCGAGTAGCACTGACGTACATTTTTTATACATATAATTTTTTGGTTGCGACTGCATCGCTCTTGTCTCGGTTAAAAACCGCGTGAATTTTCGCAAAATATAAACGCCATAGATTTTTAACTTCTATATAATTACTGAACTCTTGTGAATTTATGCATATAAGCGAAAGCCTGTGAATATATACTAACTTTCACGAAAAAAAGAGAATAAACCTGAATTTATAACGTGAAG